CCTCCCTCTCTCCCTCCCTCCCCTCCTCTGACTCTGTTGTCCAAGCTGGACTCCCAGGGCTTAGGCGATCCTCTCACCTCAGCCTTCTGAGAAGCTGAGACTACAGTAGCGTACCACCATGCCTGGCTAATTTTATTTTGATGTTTTATTTTTGTAGACTCAAGGTCCCGCTATGTTGTCCAGGCTGGTCTCAACTCCTGGGCTTAAGCAATCCTTCTGCCACAGCCTCCGAAAGTGCTGGGATTACAGGTGTGAGCCACTACACCCGGACTTAAGACTCTCTTCTTATACCTGTCCGCGGAGCATTGTGGTGTTTCTAATAGGTGCACTATTTAAAAAGTTTTAAAAATAAATTACACATTTTACATGCAGGAATAGCCCACAGAGACTGCATTCCGGAGGCAATGTGTCAGGTATGCATGATTTTATTTAAAATGCGTCCAATAAGATTTTCCACTTGGAATGAACATTTTTACCTCTTTCCGCATAGTATTATAAACAGTATTTCCTCATTTCATGGAGTTTCTTAGAAAGTTCTAAGTAACAGAAGAGAAAAATGAAACTGTGGGGAGATTAAATAACAGGAAGTTTACACCACAGCGAGGGCGCTCACGCATCCCAACCCCGGGGGACACACAAGTGACAATTAGGTGAAGAAATAGACCCGGTCATGCAAATCATCATACGATCACTTGGCATCCTTTGGCAGTTCTGACATTCCCTGTCACTAGCACAGATAATAAAATGAGTCAGATGACCGCAGTGAATGGGAAATTGTCTTTAGCTTTTGGTGGTTGAGAGAAGACGGGAACACAAATGCACTGTGGTCGGAGCAGTTCCTAGCGTCGGACGAGACTGTTCGCAGCCGGCCGGCCCGTCCGTCGCTCTGAGCCCCAGGGGCTACACCTGGTGGTGTCCGCACCACTGCCAGCCCCGGGCGGCACCCCTCTGCTTTCCATCGCACGGCACTGGTTTCTCCGTAGACAGCAGCACACCACAAATCAGCATCGACAGCACGTTTTTAATCCAGTGGGCAGTTGTTGTCTGAAATCACTAGAACCTGGCAACGTGAGATCTGTGTTTCATGAGCCAAGGGTCTTAGCACAAATGAGGTCTAAATGTCATCACAGTGGACCATGGGCCACAGAAAGACACATCTTCAAGTTATGTCGACCTGCCCAGAGGAGAAACAGAGATACAGAGCACAGCAGACATGTGCCGGCGATGCATGCTTCCCCAGTTCAGTGTGAACAGTGCCGTTGACATGGAAATGGAGCGAGCTGGGCCACTGAGTTTCCTGCCAGCTCACTGGAGCTGCTGTCATGGGAAGAAGCTAAGGGCAATGTGACTGGGGCGGGCGGAGGGGCAGGCGGGCTGGGAGATGTCACCATCTCGACCCGTGTTCTAAAGTGACTCAGAGGTGATCCTTCGTTCATCATTGACACACAATCCCTCTTTCTGTCTGTAAACACGTCTGTTGATAAATAACTTAACGTCTCCTTGGCATTCAGGATGCAGTTCTGGCTGGAGTGAAAAGGATGGAGGATGCGGAGCGTCAGGAGGAGATGGCGGGGTACTGGTGTGTGTGTGTGGACAGGCGCTCAAGCGTCTAATGCACGCGGCCAACATCAGCCATCAGAGACGGGCGGGGTGACCCAGCCATATTTCTCATGAGTCTTCACCAAACTCTTAAAGGTAGCTTCAGCTTCCTTGCGACTGAAGGACTTTTTTGATTTGCCGGCTTTTCTGCAGATCCGACCCTGCGTAAGATGAAAAGGGAAAAACTGGGTTAGAACTTCAGTTGTGATTCTGTTTCCCACCATCTTTGTTAAATGCACACAAAGTCATGGGAATTGCTTTTTTTTTTTTATAACAGGGTCTCACTCTGTTGCCCAGGCTGGAGTTTAGTGATGAAATCATAGTTCACTGCAGCCTTGAACTCCAAGGGCTCGAGGGATTCTCTTGTTTCAGCCTCCTGAGTAGTTGGGACTGCAGGCACGTGTCATCTCACCCAGCTAATTTTTTTTTTTTAACGTTTTGTGGAAACAAGGTCTCGCTCTATGACCCAGGCTGGAGTTCAATGGCACAATCATAGCTCACTGCAGCCTTGACCTCCTGGGCTCAAGCAATCCTTTGGCGTTTGTCTCTCACGTAGTTAGGACTATAGGTATGCACCACCTAATCTTTTAATTTTTGTAGAGATGGGGTCTGGTTATGTTACCTAGGCTTATCTCAAACTTCTGGCCTCCAGCAATCCTCCCACCTCGGCCTCCCAGATTACAGATGTGAGCCACTGTGACCAGTCAGGAGTTTCTGATATCTGAATCAATTCAGTGTACTGGTCATTGGTGAGGGTAGGGGTGTCCTCACTGAGTAGATGTGGAACATTTCAGCTCTGGAGCTGACAAACCTTTAGGGGAACAGGGTGATGTTTTCACAAATCCACGCACAGTGTTGGCTTAATCTGAACTGCTCATTCCATGATGCTGAAAAAGAACCTCTGAGATACAGAGCATCAGTTCCAAGCCAGCGTGTCCTCCCCAAGGCAAAGTATTCTGCCAACTTCCTTCCCTCCCTCAAAAGAATGCCTTTAATGATCTTTTTGTAATTGCTCTTTGAGACAAATTTATTTATATATAAATGTGTATATTTGTATAGTCCCACACACATTTAAAAACTCTAACTTCTAAAATTCAAACTCTGGAAAAAAATGTTTGAAATTATGCATCTGACAAAGACCTGACATCCAGGATCTACAAGGAACTCAAACGAAGTGAAAGGAAAAATAAACCCATTAAAAAGTGGGCAAAGGACATGAACAGACACTTCTCAAAAGAAGACATACAGGCAAGCCAACAGACACATGAAAAAATGCTCAGCCTCACTAATCATCAGAGAAATGCAAATCAAAACTACAATGAGATACCACCTAGCTCTGGTAGGGATGGCTATCATTAATATGTAAAAAAACAACAGATGCTGATCTGGGTATGGAGAAAAGGGAATGTTTCTACACTATTGGTGGGAGTACAAGCTAGTTCAACCTCTATGGAAAACAGTGTGGTGATTCTTAAAAGAACTAAAAACTGACCTTCCATATGATCCAGCAATCCCTTTCCTGAGAATATACCTGGAGGAACATAAGTCGTTCTACAAAAATGATACCTACACATGCATATTTATTGCCACACTATTCACAATAGCAAAAACATGGAACCAATATGGAACCTGTCGAAAGTGGACTGGATAAAGAATGTGGTATATATACAGAGTGGAGTTTTATGCAGCCATAAAGAAGAGCAAAATCATGGACTTTGCAGCAACTTGGATGGAGTTGGAGTCCATCATACTGAGCAAACTATCACAGAAGCAAAAACCTAAACACCACCTGTTCTCACTCATAAGTGGGCCCTGAGCAACATTAGCACAAGAGGGGGACTGGCAATCTCTGGACACTGTCAGGGGCGAGAAGGAGGGAAGAGGGCAGGGGACATGTGACAACACAAAGGGTACCTGGTCCACTACCAGGGGGACTCAGGGACAGTTAGAAGCCCAAACTTCACCAGCATGTAGCCCACTTATGTAGTTAATCCTCACTTGTACCCCACAACTCTATAATAAAATATAATAAATTAAATTTAAAAAAATCAACCACCATGCCTGTAATCTCTGCACTTTGGGAGGTCAAAGAGGGAGGATTGCTTGAGTCCAAGAGATTGTGACCAGCCTGGGCAACACAGCAAGCCCTTGTCTCTAAAAAAAAAGAAAGAAAAAATTAGCCAGGCTTGGTGGCACATGCCTGTAATCCCAGCTACTCGGGAAGAAGTGGGAGGATTATCTGAGCTCAGGAGGCTGAGGCTGTGGTGAGCTGTGATCCTGCCACTGCACTCCAACCTGAGTGACAGAATAGGACCCTGACTCAAAGAAAAAAAAAATCCAAACTCTGGAACAATCAGTGGATTTCTTAAAATTCATGTCACTTTGGAGCCATTTCATGAGAAGGTGGTGCAGACATTCTCATGCAGGAGGAGAATTGTTCTTGAGGCCCAAGTGAGAGGCCCAAGTGAGAGGCCCATGCCTCGAACACAATCCCAGGAGATGGTTGGGGGTGGGGCGAAGGTCACTAGCTCCATGGTGACCGGGTGTGTTCTAATCCCAAGGACATAGTACTTGGTTCAACAGTGGCCAAGAGGGACCATCCATCTGGGCACAAGAAGGTACGAGTCACTGAGGAAGAAGAAACAACAGGTGATGTGACCCATGTGACCCTGTCCCAGAGAGCCCTGGGGAATGTGGTTTATTTGGCATCAGAGGGGATGAGCAGATGAAAGTCAGCAAGGAGTTGAGTGAGGTTGGCCCTCGGCAGCCTTGTTGCATCCCTTTCACTTTTCTTGCCTCCACTATTCTTCACGAACCCTCTCGATGACAGATCAACTGGAATGTTCCCTTGGCCTCTACTTCCTCAGTCTCCTCAGTCTTCCTCTTCCAAGTCCTGCTTGTCCTCTTGAGTATCTCATGCATGTGTTTTGCAGACAGGGTAGAAACACCCCAAACGACCTGGCTGCGTTCCACCAACTAGCAAGGACACACACCATTCCCCACGACCTCCTGCAGCTTATGAACCCTTACTGATAGAATTTCTCTCTAACCAGGCCCTCTACATGCTGAAGATGGGCTTTTTGTGCTACAGCACAAGTGTGGGCACATGCTGAGATTCGAATGGGAGCAGGCCTTCCCCCAGGGACTCGTATAGCACACCCGAGTCATGTCCCTTGGACGAGCATTGAGAGCAGAAGGCAACCGGGTCTGTGTGGCTGTGGACAGGCGACGTCCACCCAATCTTGGCTGTCTCTGATCACCCACTGACAACTCCAGTGGGAAGACGGCTGTACTGACCTTGAAATCTACTGGGCAGAATGTGCCCAATTGCTAGAAGCTGGCATGGAAGGCCGCTTACACGCTGAGACTCAGCTTACATGTCCTCTTCAATAACTGTCTTTCTAACAGTGGACACTCACTCAGTGGAGGAGTCAGAGGCCCAGCCTTATCATGCTCTGTGCCCTCTGACAGCCATCTGGCCTCACCTGTCCACCTGCCATCTGGGCAGCAGCACTTTTCCAACACAATGTGTGGCTCATGTCGGATGAGCTGCTGGACAAAGGAAGGGAGACTGGGAGAGAAGAGGACAGGAAACAGCCACGTATGGGCCACACAGAACGTCCCCATGTGCCACCAGGGTATGTCTCCGGCCGTGACTGTTATAAGCTCCTATTTGCTTGTGTGGTGTAGCTGTGCTTAACAGAAAGAGACTAAGAGCTGATACATTTATGTTATCATGAGCTGAGATCAACCCATGGTGATTTCATGAAACACACCCAATGCACATTTGCGGGGATGTCGACATCCATGTCCATATCAAGTGAGAGAGATTAGTAGCAAAAGTGGATAAAATGCATATTTTAGCCATCCCCAACCTTCCTCTCTGCCATACTACAGACTGATGGTATAATTCGACATTTCTGAACTAATAGTAGCTAGACAGATACAGGCTCACAATAATCTTGGAAAAGTCTATGGCGTTTGGCCTAGACATATACTTTGCCTGTTCTTTGTGAAAGTCGCAATTGTTGCAAGAAATAACAAACAGAACCCCAATGGAACAGACCATTCTCTGTTGCCTTTTGTTCCCTGGAAGAATGATGAACATACAACCCCAGAGCTCAGTCAATTCAGCAAGCAGGAGGCAGAGCCTGCTGGGAGCCGGGCAGAAGCTCTGTGTTTTCATGACACTCCACGGCCAGTAAAGAGCTCTCTCTTTTCTTATCTCCTACATTTCACACCTACACCCACTGTTAGCACATATTTTTTTCACAGGCTTCCTATCCTCTCCTGATTGGCTTTTTAACTATGACACAGTGAAATGCTGGACTTGAAAACAACCACCCCCTGTATCTTCTGGCCCTGCCTGGGTCATGGACCTGTGTAGCCCACCGCACCAAGATGTTTAAGATATTTGGGCACTTCCCTTCTTCCTTCCAGGATACAGTCTCTCAAACTGTGGGCTTTTGGGGATAAACAGTGGACAACACTCAGGTCACAGCATCATTAGAACGATCCAATAAGATGCTGAATTTCAAAACACTGAGAATTTTGGACTTCATACAATTCAGAACTGCCTTTCTTATCCTAATAGCATTCTTCTTTCTCCTTTGTGTGTTTCCATTTAACTGACAATCAAAGAGTCTAGTCTGAGATACTGCCTTTGAATTCCTCTCATTTATTCTAAAACACCTCTACTTGCATTTAATGCTAAAAGACGTGTAGGTGACCATTTCACACTTCTGTGTTGTCAATCAAAGTTTACGATCACACCTTGGATGAGTAACACTTTCTCTCTTTCCTGAGCGGTATGTAAACATGTAGTTATGAGCAACGGTAGGATGGTAGGATTCTACCATCGCAAACTTAAACATCTCATAATATGAAGGTGGAACAATGTTATTGAGAACACAGTTCTCTAGGGCAGCAACTGTCAAATATAACTACTAAGTGGTCCTTAACCCTTAATCTTCTTCCCTTATGTCTTTCTGGGGGCCAGTTGCAATGATTAAGTATGAAAACATTTCCACAATGCTAATAAGGCTGGTATGTGGCCCCAAACTCAAGTCCCCAGTTCAGCCCCTAATCTTGTATGGTGTCCATCATCCAGCGTGTACACTAACTGTCACCCTGGCACTGGTACATCTGCATCTCTCTCCAT